AACAAACATTCAATTGCATCTAATACTCTGTATTATTCTAAGGAAACATATTTGCCAGCAGAGCCTCTGATTTCATTTTGCGAAAATTTTAAGAAGGTATCATAAAAAAAAAAATGCCTGCTCTCTTTAAAATAAAATTGCTGCAACTATAAAATATTTAAAGTCATCGGAACCCTGTGATAGTAGAAACATATTTAACAATCTTTTAATTTGGAACACCAAAAAAAGTCAGTAATTTTTTCCGAGGTATTTTTTTAATGAAGTCTGTAAAATCAACAATATAATGTTGTTCGTCAAAAAAATTTGGTAATGTTATCATTTTACCCTAGAGCTTGGCATAAAAAGCCTGACATGTATCTAAATGCACTTTTTACCATTACCATTTAAACGGAAAAATTAGCAAATAATAATTAAGTTATCAAATAACAAAAATAACATATTAAATAACACATATGTTGGTTTTTTATTAACCATAATTGTGTTTTTTTACCAGATATATCATCACCATACAGTATGGTAATTTTGCCAGAATTTTTTTCCGTGTGGTATTTTCAACACAAACGCGGCTAGAAAACTCTCTCTTGAACATTTTAAAAACGATACTTATCACTATACATAACCACAAGTTATTTATAAAATTTTTGGGGCTGGATAACCTGCTCTAATATAAAAGTTAGTGTCTAATTGGTTTCAAAGTTACATGAAGGAATTTATGAATGAATTATGTCTAAATTATAATTGAGCATATTTTGATAGAGTAAGCATGATCTGGATATGACCAATTATGTCGTTAAGAGTAAAGATATAGAAACAATATTTCAACGATTCCTTCAAAAGCCGCATTGAAAAGTCATTAATCAACTCTATCAGTAAACGCTTCAACCAAGGGAAAAATATTTTATTCCTTTTAGTTGAATAAAATCTGTTTCCGCTAATTAATTTCCTTAGTCACCTCTTATTCATCGTTTTTACGCCGGTGTTGGTCAGAAAGAAGAAAAAAAATATCATTCTGTCAATATATTAGTCGCAACAAAATGGACCATTGAAATATCAGTTGATATTTATTTAAAAATAAATATCAACTGTACATGAAAAAAAAATTAAACTTATGAAAGCAGAAATTGTGGCATTATAAACGAAAAGGAGTTTTACTTGTTAAGAATATGTAGCCATTACCTTGCATTGTATAAAAATGCAAAATGGAAACTGTTTTAAGATATCTTTGAGTCTTTGTATTTCTAAAAGTTTCAATGCCAATTGCTGCTGATTTAACAAAATATATTTTTTTAAATAGTAGCGAACCACTAAGTAAAATTAGCAGGTTTACCGGTAATTATGCCACCTTCATAAAAAGCTCAACTTGACTTAACAGTATTTTTATTTATTGGTAAAACATACATTTGCAGGCTTGTGTGCTCAGTTAAGACTCATAAACAAGTAAATTTGTAATAACTTATTCAAGTAGAATGATTGATAACACAATACAGAGAAGAATAGTACGAAGATACATCTAGGGTAGATGCGGGATTCGAACCCGCAACCTTCACGCTTCGCACAACTCATGGCAAACGATACCACTGGGCCAAGAAGAACTTAACTGTAACAAAGTAGCGTATTACACAGGCGTTTGAATTAATTAGACTTATCGGCGAGTAAAGAAACTATGAAACGAATTAATTAAACCTAGAATTGTACATTAAAAGACTACCACTCGAAAATATTTATTCGCTGTCCGGAATAAGTTGGCATCTCTGTGTAACTGTTAACATTTTAACTGACAATATCTAATCTCTTTCTCTCATTTTTTTTCACATTTATTTATTTTTTGTCAGTAACTCGAGCTTATAAAAGGAAAATTTCGTGAGAAAAATTTTTCTTCAACAGTTGATAAATAATCATTATTTAATACTTTTAATCATTATTCAAATTTATCAATATTTCGCTGAATTGCAATGATAAATGAAATAAATGGCGATCTGAGATAGATGGATGGAAAATATGATTTTTATTAGAACAGTTATTTTGACTTCATTTCGATATTAAATCTAATATATAAACTATAAATATATTACATCGAAGATACAACTACATAATAAAAAAGTAATATTATTTTTTTGTCCAAATATTCGTTTATTTATTAGAACAGCAGTATATGAAACTAGGAAAAAAAAGAAAAAAAAAACGTTGCTGTTCGTTGAAAACAAGTCAAAGAGACTATACTACGATGGAAGTTCATGGAATGACCATAAGATAGAATATTGGCCATCAGTCAAAATATATTTAGAAGCAAATATTTCTTGTTGAAGGAAAATGTTTTGTCAACAATTTAAAAATAATATCTGCAAGCCTTTTTTTTTTGTTCAAAAAATGACTTGAATAAAAATTCTCAACCCTTAGTATAACGACAGTAGGGAAATAAGTTTTATTTAAAGATTTTTGATTTAAATAAATTCCTCGCACTGAAAAGTTCTCTTATTCATAAATCTTAATTAAAATTCTATTTGTTTTAAGAAATTTGAAACATAAATATTTATTGATAGATAGAAAGAACGTAGATGCAGATGTAGCAACACTGTATTAAATATAGCATTTAATTAATGAAATATTCAAAAAAATTAAATATTCGTAAAAGAAAATATTTTTACTGGGCTGCCAACTACAATGCTGAAAAAAGTTGCAAAGTGATGGACAGTTTCTGAAAAATCGGAATAATCATAATTTCGATCATTGTCATGAAATATTTGCCATCACCTTTTTCTTTTTTCCTGGCAATAACAACCCTGTTTTTAGTCAAAAGTTGCTATTCTAACCATTTAAAGCAACAAAGCTATGTGTGCCAAAATCTTCAACGATTTTACAAAATAATAAGAATAATTTTTTTTTTCATTTTTATTTTCATTTTAGTTCTGTCATAGCTAATCCACAGTATTAAGTATAATGGTACTGTTATAATTTCTTTTTTTTTTAAAGAAACAGCTAAGACAGTAAAGCTATTTATTTTTAGAATGTTTGGGGAAGAAATATTTGCTATAATGACTTAGAAACAGTCATGTACAAAGATAAATGTTTGTTGGTCGGAAAAAATAAATATTTTTCGATAATTAAGTAAATTAAAGCTCAAAATTCATTTTAAGGAATTCATGGATAAAATATATTTATGATAAATCGGTATTTGGATTGACATAAAATAATCTCATGAAAAAAGAAAAAAAATCTAGTTCATCAAGAATTAATTTTAATAACTTTCTTTATACCATTACTAAAATGCAACTAGATATTTTTTCGACAATTATACATTAACAAAATACTTTTATTCAAAAGTAATTCAATTATATGTATCGCATCACAATAAGAATAAGAAGTAAATATTTTTTTTTCCAATTATGATTTGAAATAAATAAATACAACAAAACCTATTCGATTATTGAGTATTAATCAAGTTGCTATACAACTATGCATAAAGTACTGGCAGAAACCGCATGACTGCAGTAAATATATAACAAATACACAGTTTTTGTTTTTAAAACTAAAATTATTTTAAAGAATACTGTATTTATATTCTACGCATTTCTCGCAGCATATTAGCCACCTTTTACAAATGTAAAAATGACTAAATTATCTGATGTTGTTTTCAGGGCAATATACTCAGTCACGTTCTTTTAAATGTTCAAATCATAACTGTCAACTTTTAGCAAAAGCTTTTTAAAATATTTTTTACATGGACAGTGGTACTTGGCATTAATACAACTTTACTCAGTAACTCAACTGCACCATTTTCTGTTTTTCTCTATATTTCAACTTAATATTTTATTTTGTGGTGGTTATCCCCTTTCCTCTCGCTCCCGTCAAGATGACGTGGTAAATTGTTGCCCTCTATCTCTCTTTCCATTTATAAAATTTCCGGGCTGATGTGCTCGGAAGTAACGTGGCAAAAACATTAACGCTTTCGATTTCGTATGCCCAGAATCATGTTTATTTCGCAATCTCTACACTAGATGGCAGCACCAGATTATTTGCCATACACTTAGAGATAGTTCATTGTAAACTAGATGTCAGCACTCATCAAACATATACAAGCCTAAAATTAACCGAAACATTACAAATTAGCACATATTGTATATACACTTGGTCTTGTATAATTTTTTTAATGAAGAAAATTTGCACTTTAATTACCGTTTTCTTCAAAATTATGCAACCATTATGGGGTTAATCCGTCCCGGAACAGCAAATTTTGATCGAAACCTTTAGTCAGACAATTCATTAGTAAGTGCAACCTTTGACAGCACATTCTAAGTGAAGTGAACTATTTTAGCTCTTTGTTATTCAAAGAATAGTAGTTGCTAAATGCTTAAAACTTCGTTTAACATTTCGAGTGGTTTGTAATATTTTTTAAATTAGTGTTGCTAGACTGGGTACACTTGGCCGAAAAGGATTAAAGTTATTTTATATTAGTTATTTTTTTACACCAAAAATTTAAAGTTAAAGAAACACTTAAAAAATGGTACGTGTTACCAAAATACAGCATGCTATTCCGTACGACCCTATTTTTTTGTTTTATTTCTTGAGAAATATAACATCAAAATAAATGTATAAATAAATATTTCTTGGAAAAATTTAGATACAGGTGCCTCATCGTAAAACAACACGATTTATAATTTTTGCAAGATAATAATATAATCTAAGATTTGCTGTGTTCTGAACTATTGTATAGCTGTCCTTTTTTAAGTTACTGCTTTCTAATTATATGCTGTTTTTCAAAAAAAAATAAATAAAAAATAATAATATTTACTATGCAGTGATAGTGAACTATAGTGTTATGGCAAGTTGAAACTGTGATATATGATTACAGACAAATACACAATTAAATAAAAAAAATAGTTCAGTAAAATTATAATCACTCTATAAACACCTATGTTTCTAATGATTTTTATTACATGAAAATAATTTTTTCCATGATAATAATATATTTAAAAGCTATATCTGAAATTAAAACTTCTTACCTGTTCTAAACCAACATTGTCTACATTCCATGCAATCACAGGTAATCCAAGATAGCCAGTTAGTTGCAGCATATACTGTGCTGTTGCAGCATTACTCCCATAGACCTGGGCATTCGTCATATACATGATAGCAGATACGTTATGGGCTAATATAGAATCACATAAAGTTCTAAGAACGGATAGAGGGCTAGCCGATAAATCCATCATAGTATTTCGAGCCTCTAATCTATATTTATGAGTAAATCCAAACTTATATCTTTTATTTTCATTGATGCTTTTTGTTGCATCGTCCAAAGATTTATTATAGGCTCGAGGAAATTTTAAAAATGAAAATAAGGGCAAAATCGCACCTATTGTAATTGGAATTCGTTTGTCATCGGTTTCTTTTTCAAGCAATAAAGTTTTTTGTCTTTGACGGAATGTCGAACATCGGATTACCGAAATAAGAGTTAGTACAACAACAATAACTCTCAGTTGAAACATGATGTCGACAATTGTTCTCAAGAAAAGACTCCCTTTTTTTTATCTAGTACTGACAATCGATATTTTTTATTAACTACAAGATCAGGTCATGCTTTATTTTCTTCATAATACTTTATTTAAATAAATTATAAAGTAAAATAGAAGAATAAATTTAGATTCTACATTTTTGTATTTAAAAATTCTTTTATAGTCATTTGTGTTTGAACATCGCATCATTTAAGTTAAATAAGTTTGCTAAGATCATTTTAATTCTTATTTGCCGGAAATAAAATTGAGTTCTATATTTATTTTTTAGCTATGGTAGGTTTTTTATTACTCTACATTTATTTATTCTCAATTAATATATTTCCTGTAACAATTTTTGCAAAACACAGACACTGCTCCATAATGATTTGAAAGATAACTTCATAATCCACTTCTTCTTGTAGACTCTAAATGAAAGAAAAAAATATTAATTAATATTTTTAATCCTATGTCTGTTATAAATATAAAAATTATCAAAAAATTATTTATAGTAGCATCAATGCATAAAAGACAACATCATATATAAATTATTGCTGAAACAGAAATTTTAAAGCTATATTCCAAAGTGTATTTTAAAAATCTAGATTTATGAAAATCTCTGTTCAAAATATTGTAAATTGTTGAACCCAGTTTTAAATTTTTAGCATTACTTTTTTAGAAAAATAAATAGTTTATGTTAACCCTAGTCACCCCAAGAGTGCCTCTCAGGCACCTCAGGTTACCTATAAATTACCTACAACTTAAAATGTCAAACTACTTAGTGGTCTACAGGAAATGTGTGTAAATATTATATTATTAAAAAAATTAAATAGTTTATTCGTTATTTTTACCGTTGTTCAAAATTCGAATACAATGAGCAGTTAAAGCATAAATGAATAAAAGACCACTCCAGTAGATGAACTTTCTGTGATAGGAAAAAATATTTTAAATGAAATCATAATATATATATATATATATATATATATATATAAAATTAAAAATATCGGATTTCATTTAAAAATTAGGACCTAATCTGAAAAATTCTGAACAGTTGGCAGCCATGTTCTAATAGTAAAGACGATATCTATAAATAAGACTTGAAGCAGCATAGTTACCCTTTCATAAACATGTTTAAATCCTGCTAATATGCTTTGGAATCTCTCTATTTTCCAAACAAATCCATCTTGATTTACCAGCAGCCTATCGTATGCAGATTCTCCTTCTAATCTAAAATGAGAAAATATATTTAAAGTGTTATCAATAACCTGGGAAAAATGCTTAAAAAAGTAGTGAAAAAACAATTTGCAAAATTAAATGTAATATGAAAAATGCATCATTACCTTTGATGGAATTCTTCGATTACTGACTCTTGAGCAGAATCTAGCTCCTTCAAGGGAGCCATTTTTTTTGTCATCATTCTTTGATTTCCTCGAGCATTGATAATTTGTTTTACAAGTGATAATTCTTCTCCCATCATTTCCAATTCCTGTAATAAATATCCTTATCCGTTACTTCAAATTTTCAAACAAATTGGATAAATAAAAGAAAACGCAAAATGTATTAAAATAAATAATTCTCCAATACTCAGAAGAAGAATATATCTGCCTTATTAACTTTTAATTTGAAAGATATAGTTTTTGACTATAATTTGAAGTTTTACAATTTCTCAGGAGAAACACACATGACATACGTATTTAATTCATATACAATCGTAATTCTGTCTGTCGATAATAAAAATGCAATACTTCTATTTCGGTGCAATTTCAGATTTGAAATTCAGTTACGTAGGCATAAAATAAGGCAGAAAAAAATTGAAAATTCTATTCCAAGATTTAAGAATTCAAGCAGCTAATTGATTTATCAATCGTCAGCTGTTGTTTGAGGCAATGGTTAAGCTTCAAACTTGAGCCTTCTTCAGCTTCTCGGAACATGAACCAGGTAGAATAATGCTTGATTTAAAATGTAACGTAATTTCCAAAACAGTATATTCGATTGGCTCCAAAGATGACACGATTTAGAAGACAGTTTCAATCTCTATTTAAGTTCAATATTTTCTGTAACAATGTTTTAATTCAAAATCTGGTGTCCCGCAGTGGACTGATCGTTAAGACACGGTTCCCAGCAGATCACCGAAGTCAAG